CCCTTGATCAACAACTCCCCAACAGCCATGGAACAAAGTTACAAAATCTGAGGATCTGTGGGAGGCAGAAACACTACAGGTTGAGGGGATAATAGTGGTGGAGATGTGAACTGAATGACTAATCCTGATGCAAATACCTGTAACATCTATGAATCCATAGTAAAGGTTTTCCCACACATTCAGAAATTCTCCAAGCTGAACCCCACAGACTCCAAATGAAACTTGTGGATATGGGCGGAATCTATTCTAGGTACCAGTGGACTGAGGGGCTGATGTTGGGGAGTCAGGACACTCAATTAGGGGTAGAACTATGACCTCCAAGGAAAGTCGATAAGTCAAAAAATGACAGGAATGACAAGATGGGCAACATCAACCCTTAATTCCAAAGACTCTTGGAATGCATGCAAAAATCAATGGTTGGAGAAAGAGGGCCTCTTGTAACTCATGAAGGGTGGCAACAGGTAGACAAATGCCCTCCAACAACACATCTCTACCAAACATATCCCAACAACATACCATCCAAGAAACTAGGGAAAGTGCAGAAGCTGACAATCGAACTAAAGTGGATACTAACAAATGCCCCAAGTTGTCATCAGATTGATTAGGCGATCACAAAGAGGCTTCCGAAAAAAGATGTAGGGATAATGAATGTCTCAGCACTGTAGTAATTAGGGTCAGACAAATCCCAGAAAATTGTGATTTATTCAAGTTGACCACAGAGTCCATTCTGGAACCCCACATTTCAAGGAGCAGGTCTATTCTCTGAGAGTCTAAATAGCAGTGGTAGGTTAAAGCATGTTATTCTGACAAACATGGCAGACAAGACATAGCTGTCATTTCACATAACTGAGCAGTAAACCTCCCTGCATGAACTGCAATATCAGGTGACAGAGGGAGAACTAACTACTCACCCTCATTCCTTTCTGCCATCAAGGAAGGCACAGACTCAAAAGCAACCAGGGAAAGACCCAAAACATCACATGCTCGATTAACCAACTGAAGAAAAGGAGCCAGAGGCAGTTGATCCAAACTGGTCTCCTGAAAAGCCAAATAGTAAAGGAAGACACTGGAAAAAGTGAATCTAAATTCTATCCAGTATGTTCAGGAATGCCTGCAAGTGCAGCCTCAGAGCCCACCGAGAGAAACACCACTAGACTGAATGTATTTCTCCATCTCACAACAAATAAGGTCGCATACAGCTTCAACTGATAGTAACTCTCCCCACCCAATTATTAAGCAACGCTAGATAATCAGAGAGAGTGAATCTAGGAAATCATGCCATATATTGGTTTGCCAAAATAATTTTTTTTTGTACAAAAACCAAATATGTAGCACAAAGAATGTTCAAAGTGTCTCCAACAGTCGTACTACAGACAAACCTGTTAGTGAACGCTTTGTCAAAAAAAGTGACAATATTATCTGAAGAGGGTGCTTATGGTATGACATAGGTGGAGAGTGTCATGAGACACATTGCCAAGGGCAATTACATGGAGAATAAAAGACTGGAGCAAGCAAGAAAAAAAATCAGAACACAGCTTAGATGGGCAAAGGCAAAGAAACCCTAACAATCAAGAAATAGCTGTAGTTTGAGAGGAGGAAAGTATTTTTTGGAAACATTTATAATCAGAAACACTAATTTCAATTAGTTGATTATTTTCTTGAAATTAATCAAGGAATTGTAATTTCAATTAAACAATCAGTTTAAAAGACACTAATTGATGGAGTCTCTACTCATAATTAATTGATTAGATCATCCAACTTAAATGTTAGTAACTATAAATTATCTTCAGGTAGTTGTTTACCTTACTTTTATAAAGGACAAACTATGTTATTTCCAGACAAAGACTAAATGTCACAGTTGTCACTTCTTAAGAATCATGACCAAAATCAAAGTTTAAAACTCTCTATAAAATTATCTTTATCTACAATAGTTATAAAAATGCAAGATGATAAAAGGCTATTTGGCTCAACAGTTTTGATCTACTTACTTAACTAAAATGAATAATATATGAACAAAAATGAATCTTATTGTCTTTGCACATCCATCCTTTATAAAAGTAAAACTTTAAACCCACCCTTTATTTAATAAAAATCATTGCTTCCCCTCTTCAGCTCCTATACAGTGCTGACTACAACTACTGCCAATGTCAATTCATTTTATAAATGAATCAGGCTGTTAGAAAAATAAACCTATTAACTGGAGCTTAGCATTTTTTTCCAAATCATAAACTTGTGCCCTATTATCATATTATCTTTAGAATACAGCATAAATGAAGAAGAGGTCTTTATCTTATCAATCCCCCTAATAATCTTGCAAACGTCAACAACATCAGCTCTTATCCTTCTTTTCTCAAGAGAAAATAAGTTAAAAAATCTTATTCTATCCTTGTATGATAACCCTTCCCGATTTTCATCACTGAAATCATCCTCGTAGCTTTCCTCTGAATCCTTTCCAATAATTAAATAGCCTTTCTTACATATTAGGACCAAAACTTTAGTGATTTGTACAAAGAGAGATGAAAATTTCAGCTTTGCTACTAGCAACAGAGCACTGCTTCAATGGCTTAAGAAACTTATACATCACATCAAAATCCTTTTTTTTAGTCATGCTGTTGAGTTGGTTCCCCATCTATATTAATATAGTAATGATAACCCAAATGGATTATATTGCACTTAATATAATCATAGGCCATCGTCAGAGATTTGTCCAAATTACCAAGTAATTTAAATCATTATGCAATACCTCAACATCCTCAATACAGGACTCATACATAACTTTTGAAGGCACTAGGAAATGGTTGCAAGTTTGTTTTGTTCCCCCTCCCCACAATGGTGAATTGGAGATTACTACTAACAATATTACTCCTCTTTAAGATTAGTTGCCATAATTATTTCATGTATTAAATGTTAATAAATATGTATATAACCTATTTCCATTTATAAATCTTCTATGTCATGTTTTTTTCAAACAAGTTTAAATATTAAAATTCATTTTAACTACATATAAAAAATTTTATTTTAAATCATTCTTTCACAAAAGTTAAAATGATCTATTTAGGCAAAAACTAGTGTATCTAGACCACAAGCACCTGGATCAAAAGTCTGCAGCAACCCACTGCTGATGGCCATGTTATACTAAAACAATATTTATTATGAAAAAGTAAAGTTTAAATGCTGATAGATAGTGATCCATTAGAAGCCAAAAGACTTGATATGTGTTGATCATGAAAAAATTAAGAGGAATGCAGACAAAAATATCTGCAGTTTAAATTATTTCTATTTTATTATTATCTCAAATGAGTAACCACCTGTGCACAATATTTCTAACCAAGCTGCTGGCAAAACTACACTGCATAGGTCAGATAATACAAGTTTATAGATGGATGGTCTCGTAATTTGCAACAAACCCAAACAAGATGAAGCTGTAGCCTCACTATCCCCATTTACTGATACTTAATCTAAGTGATATGTCATGAAGTTCAAATGGGGATTCCAAAACCATCATAGCAACAGCAAGTGACAATCGTTTTAATCAGAATCTTGCAACATAAATGATGAAAATGCATCTATTATGGGTGTACTGATACTCAACAATAGGAATCTGTGAATCTCCCTTCTGAAATATGAACTATGAAAGTACATCACTAATCAACAATCTGCTGCCAACATTAATTTTTGAGCCTTGAAATACTCTAATGTTTAATGTCATCAGTAAACTTTACTAATTAATCCCCTATCAATATCCTTTTCAGTAAATAAGAAATAGCAAAGGCAAAAGCATTGACACCTGAGATACTCCACTAGTAACAAGGGTTCAGTTTAACCAAACTCCATTAATAACAATATTTAGCTATTTCCCAATCCAACAAACTCTAAACAATCCAATTAATTGGTTTTTCCCCCCCCATAATGCAATTTTCTTAGATAACCTTTCATGTGGTACCTTATCAAATGCATTTTGAAACTCAAAGTTACCAAGTCCACACATTTTCCTTCATCTTGATAACACGAAGCATCCTCAAAAAATATAACATATAAGTAAGGTAAGATCTTTCTTTGGTGAATCCATTTTGGTTTTTAGTTATGATATCAGATTTCCCCAAATTATAAATTTCCCTAATTTCCCTCATAAAACTTCTTTTGTAAGACTAGCATTTGTTTTCATTATAGAAGTAAGACTAACTAATCTATAACTCCCAGGGTAACTTTTATCATTTCCTTAAAATAGGAGAATGTTAGCATCTCTCAAGTCTTCAGGAATCATCTCAGTATCTGTTGACCTTACAAAAAATAACAGAAATGCTTGTATGTGTATCTTTGACCTCCTTTAAAATCCTGGGGAAAACATTGTTTGGCTCTGGTGCTTTATCAATTTTTAATCTCTCATTTTTCTACTTACCACCAAGGGATTATTATCTAAACAATTTAGATCAATTCCAATATATCCCATTGAATGCTTAGGGTCTAAAATATTACAAATATCTTCTCTTGTAAAAACAGAAAAGAACATTTAAAAGCCTGATTATCAGAATTCTTTAAGAGCCCAAAATCTATTTTAATACATGCATGTTGTTTTTAGTTGCCATTTACTCACCACAGTAAAACTATTTATACAGCATTTGAAGAATATATATCACTAATGTTACTAACTTACTCTTATGAATTATCCACTACAAATGCTGTTTATTTTCATTTGCTTTTACCAATTTTAAACACTTTACTTACTATTAACTTCTTAAAAAAAAAAATCCCATTAGTAACCTCCTCCAAAATCTCCTTTACTCCAACTCGTTCGAAAATCCATCGTCTCCATAACCTCTCTCTCCAGCAGAAGTATGCCAAAATATTTTATTGTATTCTTAAATGGTAACATTTCCAAATCTAAAAGATAAAAACTGAATGTGAAAAACTACAATGGCTTTTCTCTGAACACTCAACAACAGAAACAAACCTCTAGAAACTGCTATTAACAGTGATAACTGATGTAGCTGGAATGTTACCTGGTCATGTAATTCTTTATCCAATAAGTTTATTCCTGCAATCAACTTAGCTAGCTGTTCAGCTATGGCCAATTCTTGAATAGCATTGGATGCCACATTCTTAACATCAAAATCATCAGCTAAAAATTGCCTGTAGAAATCTGTATAGAAAATGAAAAATACACTTTAGTTTTTTGGTGTAAATGTGCTGACTCTCCTGAAGAAAAGTAATAAACATTTCTTTGACAATTGAATACCCAAAATGATTTAAGAAGGGTCTCACAAACTTAGTGCATTAGTAAAATTATCATTTTCTTCATTTCCTAACTTTTATGCAATTAACCTCAAAATAGTCAAATTGCATTTGGATATCAATATTAAACTGTAATACTACTGGCATAAACTTGCATATAATTAAGCTTATTAATTAATAACAGGCTATTTATAAGAATGATTAACTAAAAAAAAACTAATATGGAGGCATTTGAAAATTTACGTAATAATGGAATTAATATAATCTTCTATAGAAAAATAATCTATTCAGAACAAAACTAAAAATTAACTTAAAATTCCATGGTAAAGGCAATTTCATATAATTGTAACATGAAGATGGACTTCAACTTATATCAAGTATATAAAACCAGTGATTAACCTGAGGATGGAACTGAGAAAATCACTATGGAAAACTTCTCTAACCTTATGGAACACAAGGTGAGGGGGGAGCTAAAACAATATTAAAAGGATATTGAAAGTTTATGATGGTATTACAATCTGGAGCATACAAATACATGCAAAACCTGGTCTTCACTGGTCAACACTAGAACAGTGTGGAACCATCCACAATTTGGAGTGATGGCCATGTTAAATATTTTACCTTGCCGTGCAAAGTCATCCAACTTTATTCCTAGGTAGCACAACCTTAACTGGTGTTAAACTTTTCTTCTCTAATGCACAGTATATAAAATGTTGTACTGGAATACCAATTTTTCTTAAAGTTTTCTATAGTGAGTATGACTCAGAGTCAGACTCATAATATTAGGAATGGCCTAGTGCCACTTGGTTATCCTAGCTCCACATTTCCACTTTTAAAATTAAAGTTTAACTTTTAAGTACCAGTGGCTATAAGTTTAATAATATATCATTAAATCAAAGTATTTTGGTGGTATTTTTACCCGTTAAAAATTAATATTTCATGAAGATTAGTATCATAATTTGCAGCTAGTCTAATTACTTTAAGGCTTGGCATGGCCAGGTGGTTATGGTATTCGACTCACAATCTGTAGGTCGAGGGTTCAAATCCCCAAACATGCTCGCCCTTTCAGCCGTAGGGGCATTATAAAGTGATGGTCAATCCCACTATTCGTTGGTAAAAGAGTAGCCCAAGAGTTGGCGGTGGGTGGTGATGACTAGCTGCCTTCCCTCTAGTCTTACACTGCGAAATTAGGGACGGCTAGCGCAAAAAGCCCTCGTGTAGCTTTGCGCGAAATTCAAAAAATCCAAAGCCTAATTACTTTACTTCTACTAAGTTCTAATTCTACTAGTACCACTACCAGCTCATAACTTAAGTTCTAGTAGTAGTAGTAGTAGTAGTACATGTTCTACTAACTTAGGTTGTTCACTTCTTGTAATATTAATACTAACCTCGAGAGTTTGAGATAAAAAAATAAACGTTTAACTATAAATTCAAAAACACCGGTCACTAAGTACTCAAATAATTAATTATATAGATATTCAAATAATATAAAAACCACTGTAGTTGAATTTCTCTGCATGCGCTTACCGTCTTCTGAAAATTCAGCAAAAACAGACACGTTATCTTCGGCCATTTGTTTTAATAAACAATTGGATTTTTATAAGCCTAATTCTGAAACGATACATAAAATGCGTCACAAACTGTGATGTACCGATTGATGCAACAAATAATGCTATTTATACTTTTATTTGAAGCCAGTAGATGACAGATTATCTATTTTGCCTTTCCTTTTACTCTACCACTGCCGGACAGGTACATTCAGCCCCCTGAGAAAAATTGTACATTTGATTTGAAAACATTACATAAAATGAATTTGCAGTCGTTCTTCTACACATTAAAAACAACAGAAATGAAATTTATTAAATAAAATAATTTTTTATTCATAAAAATATAACAAATTCGCGCATTTTGATATTGAGTTGATTTGAGCTCGCTCTAAACAAAATTATTAGTAAAATAACGTTTGTTTACAATAATACTTGTCATTTTACAATGTTAAATTTTAAAACCCTACATTCTTTTATTAGTCCCTTAGAGATTTTCAATGATTAGAAGAGTGTATAATAACAGTAATCTAACCACTATATTTGTCAAACCCTTGCCGACGACTGTAATTGGAATACTATAATTATTAGGCCTATTGTTAATGTCTTATGATAAATATAATTGTAATAATTCTTCGCCAAATTATAAAAGGCGTACGCATCATAAAAACATTTGTTTGTGTTAAGCGCAAAGCTACACAATGGGGTACTTATCTGTGATAACATAATGACCCATTTAATTCCCGGTGGTTCAACTTGTTTGGTTTAATAAGTCACAAGAATAAATTAGTATTGTTATGTCTGTGTTCGTTTTGTTAACTTTCCGTAGAAATTCTTTCCGAAGAAACTTCTGCGATACAAGTCCTTTCTTAAATAAAACCAGTTTATTCTTTATCAATTCCACCCTGCAATACACAATTTCCACAGTCACCTTAATTTAAACTCACGCCATAATTCCCAACGATTCACACACCTTACTTACGGTGCCCGCTTGACTCAATTATCCATGTCTATATCTTCAATCTCTCTATCTGCAACTATATCCCGTCACTTCTCGCCGGCTTATATACTATAAGAGCGCGTGTCTAGCAAACACTCGAGCCTTCAGAAACGTTCGAGATACTCGTTACGTGTTACCAGGGTCACGTGACTTCCGCTGTCGTAACAGTACTGTTACGACTCTGGTCGTTAGTTAATTTTCCGTAAAAATTCTTTCCGAAGAAACTTAAGCGATACAGTTCCTTTCTTAAATAAAACTGGTTTATTCTTTCTGAATAAATGCTCGAGCATTCAGGGAAGGACAAGATCCTTCTAGAAGTTCATGACGTGTTACTAGCGTCGCGTGACTTCCGCTGTCGTAACAGTATTATCTATCTATATACTACTAAAACTATGAGAGTGTTTGTGTGTTTGCTTGTCTGTAATTAAATACAGCAACAATGGCGCACAATAGCGCCATATATGCAATTAAATGAGAATAGAAATAAAAATAGAAACAGAATAAAATAATGTTACGACAGCGGAAGTCACGTGACGCTAGTAACACGTCATGAACTTCTAGAAAAATCCTGTTCCTTCCTGAAGCCTCGAGAGGTTGCTAGATATGCGGTATTCTTGTATATAAGCCGCCAAGAAGTGACGGCAACAATGTGTAATTGAACTGCAGACAAAGGTAGAGATGTACTGTTGAGTCGAGCACGTGTGTTGTTTGTTGTGAATTATAGTGTTTGTTATAGGGTGACTGTGGAAATTAAATGTATTGCAAAGTTGTATTCAAAAATAATAAATCAGTTTTATTTAAGAAAGGACTTGTATCGGTAACGTTTCTTTGGAAAGAACTTTTACGGAAAATTAACTAACGACCAGAGACGTAACAAATTGGTGTCAGAAGTGGGATTACAGCAGTTGTTGGAGGAAAAAGAAAAGAAACAAGAAGTACGAGAAACGAAACAAGAAGAGAGATTACAGCAGTGACAACTAGAACAAGAAAGGAAACAAGAAGAAAGTCTCCAACAAGTATTGGAAGGCCTACAATGGAGGATAGCCCTATTGTACCTGAATGATGTCATTCTATTTGCAACAACCTTTTGATGAAGAAATGTCCCGGG